TTTTTCCCCTACCATTAAACATGTTTTGTACCTAAGCCAAGTAGTCAGTACTTGACTATTACCATTGTCAAGAATGATAGCAGATAACTTACAAAAATGTCTACTATAAGACCAACAATGTTCTAAACATGTTCATATAACCTCATTTCATCCTTAAATTAACATTTTGTAGATAACATCTTTAATATAGATGAAGAAAACTACTGTCTGGAGATAGTGGATATGTTGCTTCAGATAAAACAGCTACAGAACGGAGCCCAGATTTGAATCCATCTACTATGATTTCAATTTATGCTTCATCTACTACACTTACTCGTTTAATTTTAATTGACAAAATTGACTGAATTTGTCTTGTACATATTGATATTTTAAAATAAGCATATTTCTAAAATTGCTATATTGGATCAATTAGTATGTGAATTTCCTTGGGTGTTTTTTTTGTGAAATAAAGCTTAAAATTTATTCTCTTAGACATTTTTAAGAATATAATACATCATTAACTATAATCACCATGTTGTATAACAGATCTCTTGAACTCATTCTTCTAACTTAAATTTTTGTCTCCCCCAGCAAACATTATTTGGCTCTCCACATCAGTGCCTGGTATCTACAGTTATCCTCCCCTCAGTTCTTCATATCATGCATATTAATGAGATCATACTCTTCTTTTTTGTGTGTGTGCCTAGCATCCTCCCTTAAAGATACAGTATTCTAGAGGTCCATCTATACTGTAAAAAAAATGGCAGGATTACATTCTTTTTATACAGAAGTGCATCCTTTCATTTATATGTACCGTATATTTTCTTTATCTGTTTGCCCACTGTTGGACACTTAGATTAGGTCTGTTTCTTGGCTATTGTCAATAAAGCTATGGTGAACACATGAGCACAGAGTTTTCTTCAACATATGAACATCATTCCCTTTGAATGTATTCTCACATTGGGGTTGCTAGATCAAACAGAAGTTCAATTTTAATGTCTGCAGTTCCTGCACACTGTTTTCCATATGGCTGGAACCATTTACATCCCCAGTGACAGTAGCCAAGCTTTCCCTTTCCTCCACATGCCAACACCTTTCAGCACTTGCTTCTGATAATAACTTCAACATAGATGACACCTTGTGCTGTTTTGACTTATATCACACGAGTAATTAAGAATTCTGAGCATTTCCCATATCCCTGTTAGCCATGTCTACATCCTCTCTTGATAAATCTCTATTCTCATAAGTTGTCTATCTTAAATTCAGCTAATTGTTTTCTTGCTTTTGAGTTGTTTAGGCTCCTTAAGTATTTTGGATATCAGCCATTTACTATTATTAGCCCTTTTATTTATTAGAATTGCCTTTTTGGGGTAATATTAGCCTACTCCATCAGTTTTTTCTCCTTTGATTATGTTTTGCCACACAGTTTTTTGAGATTGCTATCATCTGTTTATTTTTAATCTTTGCTTTTGTTGCCTGTGCTTTTGAAGTTGTCTGTAGCTGAAAGTTTTCCTGTGTCCCAACTGGTCTGTAGCTACTCAGACCCAAGTAAACACACAGAGCTTATGTTAATTAAAACTGCTCAGCCATTAGCTCAGGCTTACCACTGACTAGCTTGTACACTTAAACTCAGCCCATTTCTGTTAATCTATATGTCACCACGTGTTCTGTGACTTTACCTGTGCACCATTACATGCTGCTCCCTGGACGGAGGGCTGGCATCTCCTGACTCAGCCTTCCCAGAATTCTCCTTCTCTGCTTATCCCACCTATACTTCTTACCTGGCTACTGGCCAATCAGCATTTTATTTATCAACCCATCAGAGCAACACATTTTCACAGCATACAGAACATCCCACAGCAGTTATATCTAAAAAGCAAATATTGCTCAGACTAACATCATGGACATTTCCCGTGTATGTTTTACTCTAACGGTTTTGTCCTTCCAGGTCCCACGTCTAAGTCCTGAGCTCATTTTGTGTTGCCTTTTCTATGTAGTGTAAGGTAAGGGTCTAATTGTATTCTTCTGGGTATTCAGATGCCACAATACCTGTTATTGAAAGTACTGCCTTTTTCCCTTCACACGTTCTTGGTGTCTTTGTCAAAGATTTATTCTCTTTGCCCGCGATTGGCTTAGCGATCCAGGGCATATTGCTTTCTAAATGGACAATTACTTCTTTTCATCTAATTGGATCTTCAGCAGGCTTGACAGGACTGATCAATCTCTGCCTTCAGATCCATTTCACTCCTTGCTCTTCTGTGCTCTTGTTCTGTGCGTTTTTCCTTTTCTTCATCAACCTCCCTCAGTCCTGCGGTCTTCCGCATCCTCTGTCCGCTGTTAGTGCTCACTTCCTTTTCCCATTTCCCTTCCTTCCTCTGTGTGGGTCACATCCCCACAAGAGCCTCGTTCAGTTTCTAGCTTTCCATACAACCTGTAGACTTAGGCTCTCAAGGTTGTGTGGGTTTGCAGCCCGACTCTTTCCTCTAAGCTCAACTTCATAAATAGTTCCCTCATTTATTTGAATATAACATGAGGGCTATATCAGCCTTGCACAAAGCACTATAATGCTCCTCTCCCTCCACTGATCTCCTGCCAAGCCTGCCCCCTTTTCGGGCCTTTTCCATTAGACCATCAACTATTTTTATTTATTTATTTATTTATTTATTTATTTATTTTTGGTTTTTCAAGACAGGGTTTCTCTGTGTAGCCCTGACTTTCCTGGAACTCCCTCTGTAGACCAGGCTGCCCTTGAACATGAAGACCAGCCAGCCTCTACCTCCTGAGTGCTGGGATTAAAGGCCAGAGCTACCACTGCCCAGCAGACCATCAGCTTCTAGTTGTTCAGTTCATGATTAAGCGTTCCACTGAAACATTCCCTCCCCTGCTGCTCTCCCCCATAACTGTGACAGCCCACCATCTACTTTAACCTCCCAACACTTAGGATCCTATAGCCACTCACTCTCACCTTCTTCACATCAGGTACCACTGAGCTGCCTGAGCAAGACGATGCCTGTCCTATCCAAAGACTTTCCCTTCTAAAAAAATGCAAAGCAACAGCTCACCTCTGTGAGATGCCACAGGAGCCCCGCATTTCTCCCTCAGCTCCTCCCTGGGCCACTCACATCCCAGCCACTCTGGCTGTATCATCAGCACAGGAGAACATTTCCCGGTTTCAGAAACAGGCTACTGTGTTTCTTTGTTTTCTTTCCTTCCCTAGGTCCCTATAAAGGATGCTGCTTCCTTATAATTCAGCCTGTCATTCAAACTACATCCACACTAGAGAGTACCGTGAAACATTCCAATGTAGATGTGAGTTCCTCCCCTGCTCAATTACTCTCCATCACATCTCTGCACTGGATTTCCTTCAAATATTTACTTACTTCATAATTTACTTGGGCGTTTATTATTTGTTTTCTCTCCAGCAATATAAGCTCTCCGAGGACAGGCACAGACTTTGTCCTTTTAATTTATCATATCCCCAGTACTCAGAGAAGTTTGTGATGTGTGGTATTCATTCATTTGAACTGTCACCAGGCAGCATAATCTGTGTATCATAACACAAAACATAGTGTATTTGCAAAGTTAAGAGCAACTGACTCATGCTCAACCACGAGAACACTATAGAGCATAAGAGGGTTGGGCTGGAAGTCTGGGTCTTCTATATTTTAGCATCTGTTTAAATCCATGCAGTTGAATCAAACATAAAGAACCTCTCCCATTGCATTTATAGTGATGCAAATATCTGTGGTATTGGAGATCACACCCTTTTCCTGACTGCTCTGAGAAGTGGCTCTCAAAATTGTATGTCACACCCCAGTTTCTTGCTTTCATGTGGAGGGATAAGAAGTTATGCTACATAAGATTTTCACTCCCCAAAAGCTTAAGCAAGCTACCTAACCTGGGTTACTGCAAACCCCATTGCACATGACTAACAGGCAGGTTGATATAAATGCTTGATGCACTGACCTTATTTATGGGGAAAGGAGGTCCAAGGTGTTTATAATATTAAACTATACCAGATTTCCTACCTATTTAAATTTCCCTTTTTATGTTACATTAAAATGTTCTATGAATGCATATTCTTTTAGTAGATGTTTAATTTTATTTCTAAAGCTGCTCTTCATCTTAGGAGATGGAGCTTTGTGCTCTGTCATGCCACAGTCAGGACGATTATGTTGGAGACAAACTGGAGTCCTTTCCAAGCGTGTCATGAGATTCAGAATTTTCAGTCATCCCCAAAGATCTCTTGGTTGTCTTACTATGAGGTTGGAAAAAATGGTGATGTGAGCCTGGCAGCTTGTGCGACTGGCTTTCCATGTGGCTCGCTTCCAGATGTAATCCATTCACATTCTGCCTGCGGTTGTTGCCATTGGGTGGCAGTTGTCTCCTCAGGCAAAATGGAAAGAGGAATGAGTGTGGGTCCCGACACTCACTGGAACATGTAGGCAAACGGTGGTACTTTTAGACTCTTCCAATTAGTTTATTTCCAAGGAAACTGGGCAGAAAATTCTGAGGATACAGTGTTCAGACAAGTTCACTGCTTCCCGAGAGGGTGCCCTCTGCCAAAGTCTCACCCTTTATCCTGAAAAGGGCCACAACTGTTACACCACGCTGCTGTGATTGTATGACCTGCCTCAACAAGACCATTGCAGGGCACCACTTCCAGGGTGTTTACATTCTGGTGATTAACAGATTGAACAGACAGGTATGAAATGCACAAATAAATATGTTTTTCACAGCACCACAGATTGCTTCTATATTTCAGATTCCTTTAACAGCTCATTCTAATCTCGTCACTAATTGTCCCTGCCTCACCAAGCATTCACTGACAGAAATGGTCTCAGCACATTTAGAAAATAAATAAAATCTGCATTATGGAGTCAACACCATTGTGTTTCTGGCTCCATGCATGGCAGGCCCATTATAAAGCTGTGTTTGCTGTATTTCTAATTAAACACAGGAGAAGAAGTGTCCGAAGCTTTCTCAACATTGTTTTTCATCTTCTGTTTCTGTTTGCACAGCTCACCATGTGAAAACGGGGACTTGCGAGGTGGTGGCTCTGCACAGATGCTGTAATAAGAACAAGATAGAAGAACGGTCCCAAACGGTCAAGTGCTCCTGCTTCCCTGGGCAGGTGGCAGGCACCACACGAGCTGCTCCATCTTGTGTGGATGGTGCGACCTCTTCCATTGCTCATCGCTAACACATAGTCGGGATTGGAACCCCCCTATAATGCTATCTACTGGAGTCACTCCCAGGGGGCCACACTGTAAATCACATGGCAGAAAAGAAGTGATTTGGGGGCTTTTTTTTTTTTGTGGGTGACATAAATACCTCTGTGTAGATTTCATCACATCTCACATCATCCTGTGACAACAGCATTATAACGAGGTTCCAGTCAGTCAATATGCTTCTGATATTGTTACCATGAAATGTAGGTTTTCTGGTAGACAGTAGATGTATAAATTACTTGGGAAATGCAAGACACCTGTAGAGGGTTAAGTAATGTGTGTTCAAAAACCCTGGACAGAGTTTTTAAGAATTTTAAGAATTTCTCTTATTTTAAGAATAAGAGAAAAAAAAAGTCAACACCATGTACACATATTACTGGCTGCAGATAAAATTCACATAAAATGACCTCAATGGAGATGGGTGTAAATATTGGTTTCCTTGTTTGATAATTCTTATTATTATACTAGATTATAAATCTTTGTGTGAGGCTAGTAATTGTTACATCATAAACAGTAACTGTTTTATTGTGGCCTATGCCTTTTGAAGAAATTACTGTTTATAATAAAGAGAAAGAGAAAAACATATTAAGTCTATATACACTCTCCTGATTTTCAGCTTGCTCATGGGGCAGCCGTTTCGTTGACTTTAAAATATTGATTCATCTGGGCATGGGTATAGTTTATTATGTATTTATATAAATCGGTGCAGGGCTTCTCAATATATTAGTCTCATGAAGTCTGTGTTTTCACTTGAAACATCCTTCAACATAGTAAGTAAAGTTATTACTTTCTGTTGAACATGTAGACATGTATTAATATTATATATCCCATATGTCCTTATTGTGGTAGAATAAAATTTTATATATAAGAAAACGTTCTTGAAAATACAAACTATATTAGTTAGACCGGTGAATTTTGTCCCATGGCAATCCCAAATAGAAATATTGAGCTGATTTTTTCTCTCTCCTTGTAGCATCCATCGTGGAACAGAAATGGTGGTGTCATATGCAGCCGTGTCTGGAGGGAGAGGAGTGTAAAGTCCTTCCAGATCGGAAAGGATGGAGCTGTTCATCGGGAAATAAAGTGAAAACAACTAGGGTGAGTGGACAGCCAGCCTGGGATGGAGAAGATCTCTGAATTAGTGGAGAACAGGACATGCGCTGTGGTATCTGAAGGGGCGGTTGTAGAATGAGATTATAGTTTTATATAATGTGAATTTCCCATTCATTCATTTATCCATAGCATATTTTTATTTCAGAATATCACCTTCTACCAAGTACCATCCATCTCCATGTTCTCTGAGTAATGAACACTGTTTCTTCATAAGATATTGCCAGCAACATGAATACCCCCTACCCCCATCAGGATGCATTCTAAATGGCAGACAACTGGCCACAATCCCTATTCATCAACTGAAGAGTTATGGGGATAAATTCTGAAAAAGACTGAATAGTTTACATATGGCTCCATATCTGTTTACAACTTAGGTTCTCCCTGTTTAATAAAAGTGATGATTGTTTTGATCTTCCTAAGCTTTGGACCATTAACTAGTTTCATAAGGGTTAAGGGTTGTAGTCATTACAATGAACAGGATCTCAGGATCAATGCAAAACAATGCTTAGGATGGGGATGCATTTCTGATCTCAAGAACTTTGCTGGAAGATGGGAGAGGAGTGAGAAGTCATTTTATATTTAATTTCCCCATTGACTACATGAATTTTCTGGACTGGAAGAATTTAATTTCCATTTTAAATATAATTATATATAAGTAAAAGTTGTATATAATTATATATAATTAAAAGTATAATTAAAAGCTAAAATTTTATATTTTTCAATTTTCTTTGAAAGAAAGTTGGCAATTGACTATAGTTGAATAATAGAATAATAAAACAAAATAATGGTTTAAGCATATTTTATAAAAAGCAATACCAAGCTAGATAATAATATTTATTTGACATGAAAGTTTTTTTAATTTCTGAGTATCTTCAAGTAATTATTCTATTGATGTCATTCGAACAAATTCTACCCTGTCAATTAATGTCATCAATATATTGATGCTAGATGTATTCAGATGTGTCCATGTTTTGAATAGCACAGATAAAAAAACATACTTTGTTGTTTTGCCAATTATTCTTGATTCTAATTTGTTGGCTAAATTTTGGGAAATATTTCCAAAAATATGCCAAGTACATGATCAGTTAGGATAATTTTATTATTCAGTGGGCTAGTAAAAGTTCTAATTCATTCATTCTGATTTGTTAACATTTTGCCAATATAAAATTTTCTTGTAAGGTATTTATTGCCATGAAATTATTTTCCCCTCATACTAGTAGAAATAAGACTAATGGGAAATTGCTAAGGATTTGAGATTCTGAAACACAATTGACAAGATAACTAAGTAAAAAAGGTGAGTTCTCTACAGCCATTCCATGTTTTCATTACTTCAGTGGACAAGGGCAAGCTAACATTTATTGGACCCATAAACATATGCTGCATACTGAACAAGGCACTTTAAATACATTATCTAATTTACTCAGCTTAATAGCTCCACAAAGATGATATTTTCATCTCCATTTTACTGATGAGTAAACCAATACTTCACAAAGTTAAGTGACTTCACAAGGTCATAATGGTAATTAATTGAGGGACCAAGATTCAGCCCCACAGCCTGATTCTCAAAATTGAACCCTTAATCTGTAACTATAACTTAATTTTAACACATGATTTATTATATTCTTAAGTGATAATGATTAAATTTTCCTACAGTTTTATTTATATGAGGTAGACCTTTAAGAATATATTCAACTTTCTGGATCACTGAAATGAAAAGGTCAAGACAATGCTGTTGAAATTCTCAAAAAATTATTTTCTGATGGTGCCATTTCTTTCCCTGTTGGCCAACTCTCAGTAATCCAAAGTTAATACTGAGCTTCACCTTCATAGAACTCACTCCAATATATAGAAATAAGACCAATAAAAGAATGGGTGGTTCTGGGCAGGAAAACCACATCTAGACCCCATAGTTTGCTTTAGTAGTGTGGTACTATGTCATTGGACAATACTTTCTGATTTACTTTCATTTATTCACTAAGAAGAGCTGGCAATGCAGGACTTTAGAGAATGTATTGTCACCCATCATCAGGCTGAGGGTTACGTTGCTGCCCTGGGATTAAAAAAACAAAACCTGTAGCCAAGCAGGAAGCTCTTCGAAGACCAGGTTCCTGGTAGCTTTTGTTGTGTCTATAGTTGGTAGCTACAAGTGGTGACCATAGGTGAGTGGGAACAGACAGGAGCAGAAGCAAATAGCCCTCAACTGTTCACAGTATTCAAACCAGCCTCGAGTTTCTCTTCTGTGTGTCCTTGTATCGTTTTATCCTTCTTTAGTTTCTCCTTCTCTCTCTTACTCCCCCTCTCCTCTTTCTCTATGTCTCCCTTTCTGTCCTTCATCTTTCTGCTGTGAATGCCCAAACTGCTTCCCCAGCGGTCAGTCAAATGTCCACCTTCCCCTTTCTACAACCCAACTGCCACCTGGACTGCTTGGCCACCTCTGTGCTTCACATCCATTGCCATTGCTCATCTGCCTCTACTGCTTCTGTCTCCATGTTACCAGCTCAACCTTCACTACTGAAAGTAGACAAGAAAAGACTACCCCAGAAAAGCCTCACACTGAGTGGGATGTAACACCAGGGCAGGAAGCTCAGAGAGTCGTTTCTCAGCCAATTCAATAAGTGAGCCTAAGAAGCAAGCTTATATAGCCCCGGTGTTTGGACCAAACACAGTCATTGATGCTTTTGTTTTGAACCAATTGCAGCCTTGTCTCTTAACATCAATCATACTAGTCCCTCTGATAGGTCGATGGCTTAAGTCCTCCTCTTCCTCTGCAGGGTCATCTAGAGTTCCTGGAAACTTGTGAAAACACAAAGTCTGATAGAAAATTATTTCAAACCACACTGACGGTGTCTCTAGTGCCAGGGAAATGATGTATGGTTGTCATGTCGTTTTCTTAAAGCATCTGAGGGTTAATCCATCAGCTGGTACCTGTAGTGGCAGAAGGGAGATCCAACTGGTTCTGTTGTTCAGGGAGGCCGGGGCAGCAAAAATGAGCCCAACAGCTGCAAATTATGGAGTTAGATTGCTCGATGCCTCCATCATCTCCACTGACTGGAAAATGGACATCAGAAGCCAGGTTTACAGTGAGAACTTAGTGAACTTATTTTGAACACTAGCAGTAACTTTAACAGTATTTATCAGTGTTTAACATCTGCCCAGTGCCCAAGGGAAAAGTGAGTTCCCATCATCTGTCTTGGATTAATACAGTTGTAGGTGCTTAGACTGAATTGCTTCTAAGATCTCTAGTGATTGTGAGGCTAGGATTCTAATTCTAGAAAGAAAAAAAATAAGGGAAAATAGAGAATGACTTGAAAGAAGGAACTTTTTTCTTTTATAAGAAACGTTTTTATTCTCAATTGTTTTCAGTAAATATTTTAATTTTTCTTACATTTTAATAATTCAAATTTTTCTTTAAGTGTATTTATCCGTGTCTTTGTGTTGGTGTGTGAACACAGATGCCTGAGAAGGCTAGAAGAAGACATCAGATCCCCCGAAGCTGGGGTTACAGGCGTAGGATCACCCAGATTGGGTTCTAGGAACTGAACTCAGGTTATTTGTAGGAGCCATGGATGCCCTTAACCACTGAGCTATCTCTCCAACCCTAAGGAAAAAACATGTAAAACATGGACATACTTAGATATCTTCAATTAACTGAACACTATGATCGTCTGCCTGGCTAGTCAAAATTGCACAAATACGAATGAATACTGGTTGAATTCACAAAACATTTTGGTCAAATATTGCCATATTGCCATTAAAAAGTCAAAGATTTTAGTGCCATGAGCTCTGCCTTTCCCACTAAAATATTGTAAAAAAGCGAGGGACGAAAGAAACATCCTTTAGATAGTTTGGGGCACAATAGTACTACCCAGGGAATGAGTATTGGACAGGTGATTTCTTCCATGCATAAGTAGTTGTACTATTGTTAAGAAGCATAAGTCATTATTTTGTTCATTGCCACTGCTGTTTACTTGACAGTCATGAATAAGGAAGCTGGGGCTGCCAGAGTCCTATGAAACCATTATCCCTGATTTGGCAGGTTCTGGATGCAAAAGGATGCCTAGAAGAGAAACTGGAAAAGGTTACGAAGTAGCTTGCAAGCTGCTCTCAGCCCAAAGCTATGTATGTGTTTCGAAGGCAAAATATGATGGTCATATGGGATTTTTCACTGCAAGCAAAATGGCTAGAGAAAGGATTAAAATTTTCAGTAATGTCCACCCTCCCTTATAATTGCCCATATCCAATCTGGAATGCTCGGGCAAGTCTCACTGTGAAGGGAGGGCAGTCAGCCAAATCCAGCGGTGGCGTGTGCGTGGCCTCAGCAGAGAGAAATGGCATCTTCCAGAACTGACTACAAATCAGGGCTGGCTGTGTTCATCTGACTAATTTGGAGCCTCGTTGGCCTTACTACAAATGTGAATTATGCCTGCTCCTATCTTTATACTCAGTTCAGATAGCTTTGTTTTTGTTCCATCCTATTTTCTGTCCCAGAAAAGAGGGAAGACAAGGAACAGATACTCTTTTAGACAACATCAAATTTTTGTTCTCAAACCCCTTTAGTCTCAAGAGCAGAGAAGACGTTAACATCTGTTTCCAAATCTTCTTTTTTTTTCTTCCTCTTGCTAAAGGAGAAAAATTAGGAGCATCTATGACATGCAAAAGTATCTCCTGCAGTACCTTTAAGATTTAAGATAAAAAAGAAGGGAAAAGTCATATGAGCCTTTTATTTTAAACTCACTTTCAAAGATAAATAGTGAGGGACTTTTTTTAGAGTCATTAATAAAAGAATAGTCTCTCCAGTGTAAGAGAGCACATAATTATATGCTAATTATACAATACAAAATAACAGGGGGAAAGGTGCTGCGGAGCTTGTAAGATATGAGAAAATATCTTTAACACCGTGGGGATCATCAGTAAAAAACAGACTAGGCTTCATTTCTTTTAATGTTTTGAAATATTTTTTTCTCTCTGTGGAAGATCTAAGGCAC